AAAATGCTTCCATGGGAAGCTTCCATTTGACAGTAACCAAGTTGTCAAGTATCCTGACAGAGATACTCCAACTTCCAGGTGCACAAATTCCTTACAGATCTGTCCTGGGTTCAGCAGTAGCAGTCATTTTTCTCCTTCTTGGTAGCTGGTGCAGTGCAGTGTTTTTGACTTTCGGCTTGGGAACAGAGCTGATAACAATGATGTTTTGGTTTGGCCAAGGACTTTGTGAGCCTCATGCTCTGCCAGGGAGGAGGGGAAGCTGGGGGGAAGCAGAGACAGGACACCTGACCCAAACTGACCAAAGAGGTATTCCATACCACAGCACGTCATGCCCAGGATGTAACTGGGAGTTAGCCGGAAGGGCTGAGGGACTGCAGGGTTGGAGGAGGTATGGGTCAGAGCTTGGTCGGGCTGGGGGGGCGAGTTAATCAGTTGGCTGGTGGTGAGGTGTTGTATTCTCTTCCCTTGTTATTTCCTTTATCATTATTATTACTGGTGGTAGCAGTAGTGATTTGTGTTTATACCTTAGTTACTAAACTGTTCTTATCTCAACCCGTGGGAGTTGCATTCTTTTTGATTCTCTTCTCCGTCCCTCCGGGAGCTGGGGGAGGGCAAGAAGGGGGGGAGCAAGTGAACAAGTTGCCTGACTGGGTTTAAACCACCACAAGATCACATGAAGAAACATATATACTTTGTGAATAATTAACTCACAGAACATAGTTACCAAGTTCTATTTTGCAAGGAAAGGACCTTGATGGAGCAGACAGATTTTTCATTTCCATCAGAGGCTGTAGGCTCCATTAGGGTTCTGTATACCTGACACAGTGCAGATTTCCAAAAGCTTCAAGCATTACTGTGTAACACCTGCTGTAGAAAGCAGGCCTGTGAGAAACACACAGCAGTTTTCTAAAGCTGCTTTGCTCAGAACTTTGTAGAGCTATTTTTTCCTCATTTGAATAAAAGATTGTGAAGTTTCTATTGCATATAGAAAAACTCATGCTCTACACTGGTTTACAGTACTCTGTGAAATTTGGTTTTGTTATGCACCTTAACTTCTGAAAGCATTTCATCATGTGCTAAAAATTGTTCATGAAATCTTTTATTAACAAAACAGACTCGTATTTCGGCCACAGTGTCCATACAAAACATTTTGGAGGGAAGACCAACATCTGGGGTATTAGAATAATAGAATAGTTAGGGTTGGAAAGGACCTAAAGATCATCTAGTTCCAAACCCACTACCATGGGCAGGGACACTTCCCACTAAACCATGTCACCCAAGGCTCTGTCCAACCTGGTCTTGAACACCACCAGGGATGGAGCATTCACAACTTTCTTGGGCAGCCCATTCCAGTGCCTCACCACCCTCACAGTAAAGAACTTCTTCCTTATATCCAATCTAAACTTCCCCTGTTTAAGTTTTAACCTGTTACCCCTTGTCCTATCACTACAGTCCCTAACGAAGAGTCCCTCCCCAGCATCCCTATAGGCCCCCTTCAGATACTGGAAGGCTGCTATGAGGTCTCCACGCAGCCTTCTCTTCTCCAGGCTGAACAGCTCCAACTTTCTCAGCCTGTCTTCATACTGGAGGTGCTCCAGTCCCCTGATCGTCCTCGTGGCACTCCTCTGGACTTGTTTCAACAGTTCCATGTCCTTTTTATGTTGAGGACACCAGAACTGCACACAATACTCCAGGTGAGGTCTCACCAGAGTAGAGGGGCAGGATCACCTCCTTCGACCTGCTGGTCACGCTCCTTTTGATGCAGCCCAGGATACAGTTGGCTTTCTGGGCTGCGAGTGCACACTGAAGCCGGCTCATGTTCATTTTCTCATCAGCCAACACCCCCAAGTCCTTCTCTGCAGGGCTGCTCTGAATCTCTTCTCTGCCCAACCTGTAGCTTTCTCTGCTTTGTTAACAGGAGTGCAAGAGAAACTGGGAGTGATGAACAAAGGAGTGGTGTATGCTCTGTGGGATTACGAAGCCCAGAATAATGATGAGTTGTCATTCCATGAAGGTGATGCCATTACTATTCTAAGACGCAAGGATGACAATGAAACAGAGTGGTGGTGGGCCCGCCTCAATGATAAAGAAGGCTATGTGCCTAAAAACCTTCTTGGGGTGAGTTCTGTTTCAGTTACCTTCTCCCTTCTATTTCTTTCTTCCTCCCAAAGTGGGACACAAGAATGTTCTTTGGTCAGGATCCCTGTATATCATCCAGACACACTGCTATGACACAGTCCAAAGCAGATGATTGTCCTTATTCTCTCCTGCCTCTGTGTCATCGTGAACAAAAAGGACAGGCAGTGGCCAGATTAGTGCTGAGTTTTATTTGGCAAGTTAGTAAAGTTAATAGTTTATGCTTTTCTAAGGTTATTTTGCCCCTCAGCTGAAACACAGGGCCCTTACGTAAAGCATGATGGCTCTATTAGGCAGCATGAGGCTTTGGTCCAGGAAGTTCTTCAGGAAGGTTTTCAGTACCTGGCACAAGATGAGCAACACGCAAATATTGTAGGTTAAACAGGAAAGAGCTGTAAGGATGGCAGCTGTTGGCAAGTTTTTATGCTGTTCTCAGTCTAACAGAACACTGCTATCCAGATACCAGGAATGTGAGGCTACTAGGGAGAGACATATAGAGGACAACGTGTGTAAGACAACCTTCTAAAGGACAGGAAATGAGCACTCCCCAGGGCTCAACAGGGAGTTCTTGTACTTCCATAAGCGCATCTTTTGGTCCAGGCTGAGATCTTGAATCAAATGAACTAAGTCATTTCCAGAGCAGCTGCTGGCAGGAGGAACTCAGCCCTCAGCCTCCTGCTGCTTCTGGTTTGTTTTTCAGAAGTTACCCAAGAACATGCTGTAGCTCACAAAAATGTCACCCCCACCAACCACTCTATCATCCAGATCTTGTTAACAAGTACCCCTTAGAATTGGATTAATTTATATCCAACTTGGTGTCAGTCATGCAAAACCTAATATTTTTGTTCTGTTTTTTACAGTTATATCCACGAATAAAACCTAGACAACGAACCCTTGCTTGAACTCAGTTATACAACAGTGCAATACCATGCTGGTAACTGGAAACTTAAAACATACACTGGAGCCATCACTTTTGATCATTTCACACAGAGAAATAAAACTATAATTTTTAGTTTTAATGGTGCTTTCTCTTGTTAAATGGACAGCATCCACGATTTTCAAGATCTGCAGTTTGTAAATGAGGATCGTTTTTACATGACCCACCACTGCTGAGGAGAGCGATACCTCCACTACCTACAGTGTTGCACCACTATCGTCTGAAGCGGTGTTTTAAGTTAAAAGTTCCGTGGTTGGAGCTTTCTTGTGTTCAGTGTTCAGAGGTGTCACCTGTGGGGTGCAGATACGCTGTCCAGTTTGCTCCAACCCCACAGCAACTGTCCCACATCAGGATTTTGGATATTTTGTTTGATACCAGTGAATGTTGAGTTCTTATTACTGATCAACTCTTGGGTTCTAGGACACAAGATCTTGACTTACTATGTGCATAATTTAAGTAGTCACCAAAGCTAAATTAAGGCTAGGATTAAGCAGTAACATGCTACAGGCTTACATCCTAGTCCAGACAACCCCAACAAAAGCTTTAACTATAGTCTAGCACCTCATATTATTTGCATTTAGAATTGAGCTAGAGAACTGACAGAACAACAGTATTTGTACACTTCTCAAATCCCCTACACGGTATTTCACATGGTGTTTTATTTTCTTCTTATTCAGCCTACAGCACCAGTGTTATCTCTACTAATGTAAAGGTTCCTCTGCCAGCTACTGGCACTTGTCTACCCTGGCCAAAGCAGTCAGTACCAAATGTGCAGCAGTTAAAGGATTTGTATGTCTGCATGGATGGAAGTGCAATAGTAGAAAAGGGTGAGAGTCCGGTAAGGGTTATACTGTGTGAGCTGAAGTCTGCCCAAGTCAGTCTAGACTAAAATATGAAGGATGGGATAGAAGTAGGAAGAGGGTTGTGTAGATGCAAAGTCAAGGAGAAGAAAGAAACAAGGTTTAGAGAAGGATTTAAGAAAGGCACTAACTTATTTTATTGTGGTTCCTGGCAGCCTCCAGCTCTTGCCAAGGCAAGTTATGCAATAACCTATTCCAGTACATGGGAGTTTCCAGCAAAAAAACAAAGAGGCACTTCACTGGCATTTTAATTGTACATGATTTTATACATCAGAAGTCTATTTTGAATTTCCATTATGAGTTTTAGCCATATTTCTTGTAATTTTCTCCCATTTAACAGTATGCAATTTGATTAATTCTTCATGTACAAGTTCTGTGTATAATTTATATCTCCATTCCTGCAGTGCTGTAACTTGCTTTTACCACAGGTTAGCATTAACTGTATATATTGTGGTGAAAAGTGAAAGGGTATTATTGTTGAAGAATTTGCTACATGGATGTGATGATTTCAAGAGCCTATGATACACTAATTCAGAGAACGTGTAAATGTGCACAATAAAGTCCTGCTAAGGCATGGCTGCATTCTCCAGTATTTTTATACAGGTAAAACAGCAGGCAGACATGCCTTCCCTCACAGTTGCCATAAAAAGAGCACTCTGAGCTTGTCATGTTCTGCCTGTCACCTCCAGCTTCCTCACTGCCTCCTTCACCAGCTGCACAGACAGGGAGTTGCCAAACAGCGTTTTATACAAGTTCTCCAGTATTCCAGCTGTGATAAATTACTACTTACCTAGAAAAGCTCTTGGGGGGTCCTTCACATACAAGCTGACAGCTCAGCCTCCTGCAGTGGTTTACTCAGTTGGTTTACTCAGTCTTTACCAGCATGGGAAGACCAGGGCAGAAAGTCACTTGGCACAGAGTGTGCAGCCAGAGGATTCATCCCAGTGGTTGAGGCAACTATCAATGGTTAGAACTAAATTGAGAGTGCTCTTTATCAAAAGGGGAAGTTTCAGAGAGCAGAGACCACCGTATGCACAAAGTTACACACTGCAAAATTAAGTATGACCTAGGTTTTTTAAATAAGTGAATTAATTTATTCATATTTATACATTAAACTGTATACGATTTCAGAGAGTATTACAGTTAGATTAACAAAAGCTAGTTACCAAAAAGAAAATACAAAACTAAACATTATTCTGGAAGCTTATTTATATCACAGAAGTGAAGTTTCAAGGTCATGTAAGTCCAGTTTGTGGTATTTGCTGAAATATTTAATGTTTAACAGTAAATGTTAAAAAAAAAAACCAAGTGATTTCTATAAAATCATAGCTAAGGCAGATTTTATTATTGTACATTGACTTTTAACCATTTGGATAGAGGGAAAAACCTGAGATCTATACCCAAAAGCTGTTCTCTGCAGAAGAGACATATACATTTGTTTGCTTTCTGTAGCAAACAGTATACATAACTGTTACTATGAAAGTTGTGCTGTACAGGGGCTGTAGTGCAGGTCACTTTTATATTAAGTACCAATAAAGGCTTAACAAAATATACAAAGTCTTAAAAGGTGAGGCTGTTTAAAGCAGTAATTGTATACATATTGCACACTATTGTGAATACTCATGGGTCAGAAACATGCTCCCCCTGCATCTGCCAGTTCCTGCATCCTGAACCGCGCTGGAATGATAGAGGGTCAAGAACCATGAGTGTTACCAGCCATTAACTAGCAGAGAGCAAGAGGCAAGTCCATGGAGGCTGGGCTCTGCCCTCAGGTGCCAGCGGTTTGCTGTCCTTACTGGTCCCGGGACTCGTAAAGAAGTTTTGTTGCCTAACACAAAGACAAAACATCACTGTGTTAACAGAAGTTAACACCTCATCTCCCTCCTACCCCTTCAAAAATTTCCTTTAAACCCAAGGCTTTAAGTTCTTTATCCATTTTTCTCCATCTAAGGCACTTAACAGTCAGACAGGCACTAGAGTAAGGTTTGAGACTATTCAGGGTTAGTTTAAATGCAGAACCTGTGGTCACAGAATAATTCAGGTAACTTATATTTGTTTTCTCTTTGTCAGAAATGACCATTTCTGATAAAAACTGCCTTGGGAAAAGCTAGATAGAAGTAATGTTTCCAAGATCTTGGTAATCCCTCTAAAACATACACTAAACAATGTTATGTTCTATAATCCTCATGTCTCCTTACAGTCCCTGCTAGGGGTTTCATTGGTCTCAGACTATAGTATCGTGCTTCCTCTTCCCTTTACATGCTATTAACTGGGACCTCTGAAAGCCTCACACAAAACCAAGCTAAATGACTGTCAAAGGAGACAAAGCACACCACATAAAGATTTACTTCAGCCTTCTGCAAGTTTTGCCCCCACTGCTTACCTTGTGCATAGCTGCCAGCCAGCTTGCTGACAGCTTCTTATTAGAGCTGAAGTCTTCACAAGCTGTAAACTTCATCTGCATTAGCTCCTCTGATCCTGGTACCTTATACTGCAGAATCATACCTATGGCACGAGTATTGCCTCCTGGAAAAAGAAAGAAAACCTTCAACAGAGACAGGTTCTGGAGCTAAGTAACAGAACAACTTTGTAGCTATTGTGTGTCTGAAGACACCAGCTTATCACTTAACTGAAAGCCCTGGAAACCGCAGGTGCACCACCAGCAGCTGCAGCAGTGACCATGGTGATACTGCCAGGCCACAGGATGTGTAGACTCAATGTTTAGTTCTCTCTGGCAGTCACTGAGGCAGAACTTGTATAAGCCATCAGGTAAAGCCACTAGCTACACACACAGGAAATAACCCTCTTTTTCACTATTACTGTGTCTTCTTTGACACAGACACCAGTTTCACACTGTAGCCTGCAGTCTGTAAACTGAATGACCTGTGTCCAGGTCATTGGACAGACATATCCAGACTGACACCAAAAGGGCTCCCTGCTCGATACAAAGTTTGGCACAGCAATCAAAAATCCCTCCAAGGATGGCAAAGGTTGGGAAAGGTGCTTACACAAGACTAGAAAAAAAAAAACCTGTCAATGTTATTGGCTTCCTGAAGGAAATCTGCTACAAATGACATTGCTCTGGCAACCGTGTGATAGCGACTTGTTTGTATCTCTTTTACACTAGCTGCACAGAGGTAAGATAAACCAAAGCCAAAACACAGGAAACAAGCTTTGTTTAGAATACTGCACTTTATTGGCATTATTTCCTGACGCAGCAGAGCATAAACTAAGCCCCAGGAACAGCACTGCTATACACAGGACAGCATTGCATGAGGGGCTCCCACAGGCCATTTCTGTAATATCCAAGAAGCCAAACAAAGACAAACTTAATCTAAGTGACCTGATCAAAAGCCCACAAGCAGTTTTCATAAAACTAGCTATTTGCTCCTCTTCTAGGGTAAACAGAAATCCAACTTCATCACTCACTCCCCTGCATATACCTGGTCAGAATAACAGATTAAAGACCTACTCAGATCCATGGAAATCAAACACCTACAGCCTTGGACAGTTTGCCACTGTCTGGCATTCCAGGACATTACTGATTCAGGCAGAACACACCTTGTAACAACAGGTTTTACTACTTCTAAAGATGTGTAAAAGCACACCATTAACTGTTTATTTAGTGCAAAGGCCTGCTGGACAGTGCACAAGGCATTACTCATTTCTGGTATACACAATTCAGCACACCTCTGTTGAAGTGGGTGATGCATAACACTGTGTGCCACAAAAAAAATACTATTTCTCAACTTCCCTTCTCCCTTCCAGCATGGACAATAGCACATGTGGTCTAAAGAAGGCTTTGAGCATTTTAGTTCTCCTACAAAAAGATACAGAACACTCAGTCTCAGTTTATTCGATGGGAAGGAAAGGTATGTGTCAGATTTGAACACAATTTGTATCAAGTTAAACAGCTATAGATCAAAAAATCAGCACTGCAGATGAAGATTGCTGGGAGGGGACCATGACAACATGCTTAGGTGAGTCATACTCAAAGGTACTGATGATACCTTCAGTTATGTGCTGGCTCTCCAGAAGGCTGGTGTAAGTGCAAGTATCTTTTTCTACCGTCAAGAAGGAAGGCAGGCAGGCAGGCAAAAAGATAAAGCAGTCAGCAGAGTAGTGAACAAGGAGTTACAGGAACATTAACTCAGCAACACATTTGGTTGATCTGAATACCAAGATAAGTTTACTGAAGTTAACATGCTGTACTGACTGAATATTGCATAGAGAGGCTGCCCATTTAGAAAACTCTAGCAGTAACAGAGGTGTTCTAAAGAACAATCATTAAAATTCCTGACTTCGCTTGTTCCCATTTCAGTGAAATCCTATTCAAGTTCATCCTGAAATACTCTAATATCTGGTAAGAGATGAGGCAGTAAGTAGCTGCCCCATGATTCAGATGCTACCAGTTTCATTTGGCCACCCCTTCAGCTCCAATGAAATCAACAAAGCACAGATTAATTCCCACCCACACCCCCTTCCAAGGTTCTCTCACTCTTCATGCAATTGTTTGTACCAGTAGAAGAGAAATCCCATCTGGATCCTGAAATGGAAGGTACCAAAGAATAGCAGTTCCCTCCTATGAGCTTTTGAATCAATAGATCTTTATATTTAGCCAAACGATGACAACCTTTACTCAGGTTTATAAAGGAGTTTTCCTGTATTACAGTAATTTCTCAATTCCCAGGTTATCCCCAAAATCCCAGCAGCCACAAACAGTGTTTCACAGACTGCACTCCATTCTGAGAGCAGCTGTAGCTAGCACACCACAGTTATGGATAACCTGGAAACACATTGTCCAGCTCAAACCATAATTACAACTTCACGTATTTTTTTCTTAATAGTTAATTTGTATTCAATGAAAAACTTACCCCCAGGAGTAAATCCCTCTGTAAGTATCTGAACAGTTGAAATATGTATAATTTCAATTTCATAATGGCTGTCTCCATCCAAAACCAGATACCTACATAGCAGAAGAAAATTTAAAAAAAAAAAAAAAAGGTATTTTTTCCTATAATATCAAGTCCAAATCAAAGGAAAAAAATAACCGGGGGGGGGGGGGGGGAGAGAGAGAAATCAAGCAGAAAAAAAAACCACTTTTCATTGAAGTTCTTTGCTGAAAGGAATTCAAACCCAAACCACAGACCTGCAGTTCAGTTTGCCATAAGACCCTTTCAAAATATTAAAGGTATTCTTCCAAAGTTCTGGGGCAAGAAGAGAACAGAGTCTAAAGTGTTGTAGCCAACAGGCTGACCTGTAATTGGTAACAAGCGTGGCTGTCATCTCAACAATACAGAGCACTGTTAGAATCATCCTGAAACAAGCTTTTTTTGGTGGCTACAGCTTCTCCCCTGTAACGGCCTCTTATGATCACTCTTCTAGCCAACAAAACCACTGTCCAGTGGCCCCAAGAGACATCATTGGCAAGTGAAGCTCCACTACTCCCTGGCATTCTGACCCACACTGCTAGTAAATTAAAACTCACTAAAGTTGTATCTATCCCTTCAGTCTGACTACTCTCTCCAGTATCTTTGCAGCACGTTACTTGTATTTTGCTCAGGTTATTGGATAATAACATAGCTGTATATTATATATATATACAGCTGTGCAGTAATAATGTAGTTTACAAGTGCAATTTCTATCAACCTTTCTTACCTCTGATTGTTGGAAAGTCGACAAACCATGAGCTCAGATTTTTCAGATGTTCCCAGAGTTACAAAGAATGAAGCACCTGGAAAGAAATGTTTTAGTTTTCTAAGAGGGAGCTGAGGAAGGATCATTCAAGTATCAGAAATGATAACTCATATTTCCTTACTGCACCTCATACACGGAAGTGGGTGAATTAAGAGACTAATTGAAACATTGAACTGATTACCATCAGGAGAACACGCAAGGATAAAAAGCTGATCTTTAATTACCGTGTTGTGAATCACAGGACCTTTCACAATTGCAATGTCCTTTCTCCCACATGTTGTGGAAATACAGATGATACCCAAGATGCATCTTTTAAAATGAGAACAGATTTGGAGATGGCAATCAGGCCACTAAGGCCCCTCCCTTGTCACCGTAACGTAAACTATTGTTTCAGTACTCAAAAAAAAACCAACCTGCCAGAAGAATCTAACAGCAGGATGTGACCTTCAGCACTGTGCTTAATAAATAGTGAGACATCTCGTTTTCATTAGCGAAGGCTAGCTCACTCCTACTCTAAGGTCAACGAACTTCATGTTATGTTTCTTCCTGCTCAGAAGAGCCCCTTCGGGACCAGGAGTCATCTTAGCTACATTAGTGAAGTGAATCACAGTGTAAAATAAAGCAGACTACACACCTAACCACTTTATTTCCTCCATGCCTCATGCTCCCTGGATTACCTAATCCCAGTACTGCTGGTCTGGGATATGAAAAAAATAACAACATAGAGCCCTGCCAAACCATCTGCAATCCATCTCCATAATGTGAACCATGCAGCCCAAGGGGCTTCACCTGGCCATTTCACAATTTTACTCAGTCCCACTGACCCCTCAGCATGCTGCTGAAACGAGACAGTAAAACAGCTATGGCAAAGCTGTAGAGGACATCACAATCACCATCTCTGATTGATATCTGTGGCTCCACACTAGAATCATAAATAGTTTGGGTTGGGAGGGATCTTCAAAGGTCATCTGGTCCAACTCCTCTGCAGTGAGCCTGGACATCTTCAACTAAATCAAACTGATCCTAAGTCAGGAACAACTTCAGACTTCAATTGCGTAACACAAATGCAAGCAGGATAAGCTTTAAGAGAAGTCTCCAGTTTAAAACACGCTATTGTTAAGAGTCATCTACAAGAGCCTCATCTGCAAAACGGAGCTAAGAATGACTTGTGTTGTCACAGGGATGAACATACTCCTCTCTGCACATAGCCTCTCCCTAGGAACACTCATGCTATCAACAAGTATGTGGCTTTAGCTACTGACTGTAGACACCAGCATCACACTGAGAGCCCATCAAAAGCCACTGAACAATCACACAATGTTTTAAAAAACAAAGACTCAGCTTTCTTAATGTAACCAGAACATGAATTGCTGTACTGCATGTAGTTTTAATGCTATGCAAAACTGACCACTCATTATGTTTTGCCCTCAACCACAGCTGTAGGCCACGGACAAGATCAAAGCTCAGAGACGAAACCTGAAACAAGCATTGTATCTTGTTAGAAAATACTAAAATAATCCCTATTGTGAAGTATTTTCCATCCTTATTTAATGTTAACAGGAAGGTGGCTATAGGATTCATTACTTTAAGAAATGTGCCAACTGCACACGTGTTCTCAGAGGCATTGAAAAATCCTTTGTCTTTAGTTAAATCTTTGTAAATACTGGCTAAAAAGTGAAAACTTCCTTCTAAATAAACTGAGAACACAGAATTATTAATTGGCAAATAGAAGCATGACAACAAATGCCAGAGAAGGACTCTTCATCAGGGACTGTAGCAACAGCACATGAGGTAATGGGTTTAAACAAGGGAAGTTCAGGTTAGACATAAGGAAGCTTTTTTCTGTAAGGATGGTGAGGCACTGGAATGGGTTGCCCAAAGAAGTGGTAAATGCTCCATCCCTGGCAGTTTTCAAAACCAGGTCGGACAGAGCCTTGGGCAACACAGTTTAGTGCAAAGTGTCCCTGCCCATGGCAGGGGGTTGGAACTGGATGATTTTAAGGTCCTTTCCAACCCTAACTGTTCTATGATTCTACAAAAACAGTAGTTAAAGGAGACAAAACCACAGCTCATTTGACAAGAGGTATTACTCCTCCTGTTGATCAGTTTTAACACAGCATTTGAACAAATACAAATGAGATCAAACCAGCACATATATGCAGTCCGTCCTTACCATTCATAAGTACTTTAAGCTGCTTGTCATAAAACTCTGTTTCTTTCTGAGAGATGAGGGCACATTCAGCACACTGGCGCACAGGGTCCACAAAGCACATGCGAGGCAGAGGCACTTTTTTACTGCAGCACTTGTCACAGAAACACTTCCCACATCTTCGACAGTGGTGCTAAGCACGAGGGGACAATTTGGTTAGCACAAATGTACAGCGGAAACTAATAGGGAATAATCTGAGAAAGTTACTACTTTAATTATCCCCCTCCTCAAGAAACAGAACAGTTTCTCATGTGTGAAACATACCAGTTGAGGGATAGGTAAAGGAAATTCAATTGGTACAGGGGTAGGAAGAAATCCCTGAAGACTGAACACAAAGAACTGAGTACAGTATGAACAGCAGCAATACAAGCCTTTGCTGGCACTCTTTAAACATGCTTCTGGAGCAGACCAGGCAAGACACTGTAATGGCCTCTCCACTGTCTAGTAAATCCTTCACCCTACTGTCAATAAACACACAAGAAAAGAGTGGTTTCTAGGTCCCTTCACACTTCCAAGCAAAATGACACTTCAACTGGCATTGCTACTCTTTCCCTTAAAACTTATTCTGAATTTTTTCCCATGGAAAAAGATGGAAATCTTCATACTTAAACCCTAAAGCTATTTCTCTATCAGAAATATCAGGAAGCACAGTTCAAATGTAATGAAGTTGCAAAATCAGAACTAGTATTGCTATGTGTTTCACAACTACCGAATCTGCAACAAGCGGCTTGTGCTCCAAATCACTACTGGGGTGTGACAGTCCCAGCAGGTCTTCCTGCTGCAAGTTCTCATGTCAGAACACGTATTCCCAGGCAAGCAGGAACTGATGTGTGGTGCAAAGAGATAGCACAGTTTGATACAAGGAACTGATACACTGCAGTGCTGCTCAAGTGTTAAGCTTTCCTTCCAAATATTGTGCAAAATTCTCTGCAGTAACTATTTCCCAGGGCTTCATTTACTCCCCACAATAAAACACAGCAGCCTCATGAATTAGTGCTTCTAAACCAAAACACTCAAACCAGCCACCCACCATGCTCTTAACCCATCCAGCTAAAAGGTAAAACAAGAACTAGGAGAAAGTGTGTTCTATGATTGAAGGAAAGTAGAGAGTAGACCTCCTTCCTGGTATCCAGTGACAGGACACATGGGAATGCTTCAAAGCTGCTATGGGGAGGTTTAGATTGGGCATTAGGAAGAACTTCTATACCCTGGTATATGGTGGTCAAACACTGTAACAGGCTTCCTAAAGAGGTGTGCAATGCCCCAAGCCCATCAGTGTTTGAGGCAGCTGGACAATGCCCTTAATAACATGTACAGTACATGATTGTAACTCAGTGAGCCCTGATGTGATCAGGCAGTTGGGCTAGATAATCACTGTAAGTCTCTTCCAACTGAAATATTGAGTTCTATTCTATTACTAGGATCACTGACTGACACCCTGCTGCTCTGCAGGCCTCCTGAAAATTTTCACCTATCTGATATAACATACTGGTATGTCTGGTGGCATTCATGCACACCAGAGTAATTCTACACTGACCTGCTCACTTTTATGTAATGAGCATAATTTAACATCAGTGTTTTCTCTTCATACAGTGAGCCTGATTATGGCTCACAGCAATCAAGGGTGTTTACACTTTCTACTTTAATTAGAAATTCCCTTTTCCAAACCCAAGATAAATCCTCTTTTATAACAGAAAGAGGATTTGTGTTTTGCTTTTGTGCATCTTAACAATATGGTTCTTTAATGTAAAATTATAACTCATTACTATTGAAAACAGCTTTGCTTACATTTCCACACCTGAATTAGTCGATTTGTTTTCTATGTCAGTACTGATGGTAGCAGCCAACTCCAGCTGCCTCCTCTGAATGTAAATCCTGCAGGTACCCAGTAATTTGGGAAAACTCTACATAGGTGTTACACATTGTTTCTTTGAAATTCTTCTCTCTGCTCAGAATTAAACCAAAAAGGACTTTGACTCAGAAAAGGCAGAACAGAAAGAAAAACTACTTTAAGTTACATCAGACTTTGCATGCTCTTCTTTTGATTTAAAAGGTAGAAGATTTCAGTATAAGTCCACACTAGTATTTTGCCACAGTTAATGCTTTACATTTCATTGATTTCTCTTACCTTTCTAGTTATGAAGTCAAATTTTGTATCACACTGCATACATCTTGGGCACTAGAAAACAGTAGAAATTAAAATTAATCTACAAGATTTCTAAACCTTCAACCCTACCACCACATACAAAGACTGAGCTTTGTATTTTGCCCTAAAAAGAAACACCTTCAACAAATTTCCATCCTTTATCTTTTCACCAGGGATGGCTTTCATTTAATTTCAATGTAGCAATATAATGTCATCCTTATTTGTAAGACAAAATAAAGCTGCCACACTCATTCCAAAACTCCACTTCAGAAATACTTACGTTTAGTTACATCTGGCTATCCAAACAGCCATATACTGCACAGTCAACTGGTTTTATATAAGCTATCATCCTCACTGTATTATGCTGCAATGCTCTGTTGACTCTCTAAAACACTGTTCACATATTCTAACGCTCACAATACTTGGACATTTTTGAAACACGCTAGGAGATAATGTGGTTTTCTTCCAAGCTACTAAGGCTTAATTTTATTCCAGCTACAAAATGTCACTTTCTGAAATATCTTCTTTCCTAAAACAAGCTTACACCCACACACTCCTCCCAAAAGAAAAGCCAGAAATAACCAAAGACGTTTGTCTCTCTCAATGGAAGTTCTGTCTCTCACAACTAAGCAGTGTCAGGGGCAACAGTAGGAGCTAGTAGGAGTGACAATTTAAGTTTTCTGTATAGAAACTCACCTATCAAAGGGCTGGTACTCAGCCACCAAATCACTGGATATTCACCAAGATCTTCCATATTTTATTCACCATATCAAAATGCTCTCTCCAGGGCTTATAATTCAACTATTACAAGATTTATTTGCAAATATTAATACAAAATTATGCCCGAGGTCTAAATCAGGAAAACGTGGTGTGATCCTGCAGTAAATTTTATACCTCTTGAAACTGAACTCCTCAAACCAGACCATACCAGGCTACAGCAGAACGTCATCTTAAAAACATGCCCTCAGCTCAGCAGGTGCTATTTGCTAAGCACACAGTAATCACTCTTTGCCTTTCATTAATATATTTCAATACTTTACCTTCTATTAACTCTTTCAGGTTACAAGTGGTTTTGTCATCTATTTCAGGGACTTCTGCTTCAGCAGATTCCCAATCACCGTCACAAGTTTAACAACTATGGCCAAGAAAATATCTCAGCAACTAAACTAAAATTCTCTAGAAACCTTCTGTATTCTTTTGAAGTAGAAGACTTATTAATTTGAAATAGTTTAGATCAAGTGTTCTGATGTCTAAACAGAAGTTAAACACATTAGAGTAACTGCGGTCACCATAATGGAACACAACGGTGCTTATCACTGCTTGCAATGCTTATTATACTATCTGTTTCTAAATCATAGAATCATAGAATAGCTAGGGTTGGAAAGGACCTTAAGATCATCTAGTTCCAACCCCCCTGCCATGGGCAGGGACACCTTACTCTAAATCTTATCACGCAAGGCTTCATCCAACCTGTTCTTGAACACTGCCAGGGATGGAGCATTCACAACCTCCCTGGGCAACCTATTCCCCTTCAGATACTGGAAGGCTGCTATGAGGTCTCCATGCAGCCTTCTCTTCTCCAGCCCCAACTTCCTCAGCCTATCTTCATATGGGAGGTGCTCCAGTCCCCTGATCATCCTCGTGGCCCTCCTCTGGACTTGTTCCAACAGTTCCATGTCCTTTTTATGTTGAGGACACCAGAACTGCACACAATACTCCAGGTGAGGTCTCACCAGAGTAGAGGGGCAGGATCACCTCCTTCGACCTAATCAAAAGAAATGTGTTCCTGTATTGTTTCAAATAATGTACTAGATTAAGGCATTCAGACACCTCTTTTCACAATGGCTGCAGAAAAGCTTATTCAAACATTCACTGATGAATAACCTTCAGCATAAAGCAACTTCAGCATTCACCAGGTTTCATCTCTGTAACAAGTAGTACTCTACAGCCAATAACCATATTTTACTCTACACTCATCCTGATATAGTGTTTTAATTTTTGACATTTGTAGCTTAATAGCTTGTCCGGGAGCTAGACCTGGCTGTTGCTGCTGTTCAGGAATTAGAAGGCACAAGCTATCTACTGGGAAAAGGAGGGTGGGTTAAATAGCTTTTCTAAATACTACCCTAAATAGATTTCATACACAATGTTATTATAAACATACAAGTTGCTTTTCAGGAAGAACCAAAGTTATCCACCCTCTCATTTAATACAAACTCTATAGAAAAATATTTCTGAATTCCAGACCTATCATGATAACACTGCCTGATATTTAATGCGGGCATAAATAAATTGTAAGTCAAATGGCATATGGCAGCAGGCACAGGATAATGGGATTTTCCTACAAAACGTTCTAACACAAGTTGGCTGATACACTGTTCTTTCAGTGTTTTATGTAAAAAGAATAAAGTGAACCATTCGCATAATATCAACTTCTATTTTGCCTGGGAAGAGATCTCTATGGAAGAAAATCTGGAAAGGTGAATTCTTCCATCCATATGCTGACATAATTAGAGAGTGCACAAGTTCCAGATTAAGCTTTACTGCTTGACAAGTTTCTTATCACATCCACAGAGAAGGAAGCACAATGTCAGAGTTACTTTTCATGTTTCAAGATACAGGCTTTTTAAAACCAGCATAAATATGAGGGTTTTGTCAAGTGGAAACAAAAAGATACGAAGGAAGAAATGAAATAAAAATGCACATCACAAGTATATTCATTCACATATAATCAACATACCACTAATACTGGTATCAGATTATTTCATATAGCAAGAGAAAAGTGGAAGAACATCTAACAGGTGTTGGATCTTGGTATTAATTTGAACTGAGAGCTAATTCATTACAAAGAGAGTGGAACTTCTCACACATTTGCTGAAGTGTGATGACAAATTTTCATAATCCCCTGGATCCAGCCAGAGGTGAGAATGCTCTAGTTACACTTCACATGCTTTATTTGCATATTCAATAACAAAGCAACTCAAGAAGGGATGCAAGGTAACACCTGGTTGAGCTTGTTAACACAGTGAACTTTTGCAAATGTGAAAGTTCACAAGCCCATCACCTTGTAATCCACCTGACCAAAACAGCTGATGCCAGAGTGAAAAACACCAAATACAAGCATATGGCTGATACAATTCCCAGTCCTTTCTGACACTACAAATGCACAGGGCCAGCTCACTGTCTGAGCTATACAAGTTTGCCAGCAGTCCAAGGCAGCTCTGTCAAACAACCAGTGCCAATTCCTGGAGCCTGAGCCAACGCAGGCCCCAGCTACACAGAGCTCACCTCCCTCCTGAAGTGACAGAGGAGCCCTGGGGACTGACTTTCACCACATCTGAAAGCTCTTTTCACACATTCCAGGTCTGAGCCACTCAGTGCTTCTCAGCAACATGCAGATGTGGTGCACAGCTGGGTGTCACGAGGTTTCGCTACTTCCGCGTTCAAGCATACATACTACTCAATTTCTAGTCCAAGATTTGCTTAATAGGCACACTATCAGTTGAGCTCTGCTGGTGATTAACAAAAGTTCTGGTAAGACAAGGCACATGCAGTGACCAACATATGTCTCAAACTTAATGATGCTCAGCACAAATTTTCATAGTATTATCTACCTCAACTCATTATTTATATCATAGATAAGGCTACCAAAACAGAAAGCTTCCTTAGTCCTGCTTCGATCTCACACTCCAAACTCCTCAAAATAACTGATACTTTAAGCCAGTATAACCTTATGACATAAAAGTTAAAAGCTGAAGGATATTTCAATGTTATGTAAGTCTCACAAAACTACCAACTGCCATAATTTTTAGGTGGTGTTACTTTTAGAAAAAATAAGCCAGCAGACTCTTTCTGCATAAGAAAAGCTACTGACTTTGTGAGTGTTACAGCAGAAGGCTGCGCATTGGAAAAGTGACCTCCACATTTGCTAATACCAGTCTCTTGTCTTGGACTAAGAAGACGGGTTTTTTAATTACATCTGACAGGGTAACAGAACAAGTGTTCTGGCTGAATTCATTATCTACATAACACTGCCACTTTAAATTTGACTTTATTAATAAATACACGGCCCTTATAAGCTTCCCTGTATACCCCATACCTGTTCTAGTTAAGGAAGAAGTTGGTAACATATTTGGTAATCATTAATCAAAGGGATGTCAGAACTTCAATACAGTTTAAGAAATCTAGTGAAATAACTCCTTACAAAGTACCAATAATGGATGATTAATAATATGGATTAACAAACACATTTAAATTAACCATTTAAATTATTAATAATATGGATTAACAAATGCATCTAAATTTAATAATTTAAATGATTAATAGTATGGATTAACAAATTCATTTACATGCATATAAATGCTAATTCCTCTCAACAGCAAATGTCACGAAGTCTGAGGCAAATGCTCAGTCTCACATCAACACCATCAACCTACTGACAACAGACTACAGGGGGGAAAGGTCAGGCTTACAGAGTATGAATACCTGCAGTAAAACTGTAACATCATATTCAAAAAACAACAAACAACAGACTTATACATTCAAAATATACAGACAAATATATCTAACTAGTTTAAATAAACCCCAACACAATCCTCAAACAACCTCTAGTTGAATTAAGATGGCATTATGGATTAGACTGAGCTAGAAGTACTTTGGGTGTTTCTTTTTTAATGAAAATAGTCTGCCATAATCAAGGACTACTGAAATACAAAACTACACTTCAGAAGGTCAGGGAGAGAAGTAATTTTAATTTAACTGTTGCACAAGTTATAGTTACTGATGCTGTTGCTGCCAGGAATCAGGTTTCTGGGTAGCCCAGGTGAGTGAGTGCACACAGGTGCAAATCATCAACACAGCAAAAGCAGACGCCACACAATGCAAAGGGAAATCACTTGCACGATAACTGCTCAGACTTTGCTACAAACTGAAAAATACACACCCCATCTGCAACACACCCAGTGCACCACACACCACATGTGGTGTTGGCTGGCTTCAGATACCTTCTAACGACTCTCGGCTCTGGACACTGACATTTTTGTCTTACCTACACTTATGAGACAAGAGGACCAGTGATGATAGGGAGGGGTTTTGTAATTCTCTAAGTATGGAGAAAAATAACTCAGAAAAACACCCACAAAATATTTTAGCAGACTGCTTGTTTAAATAAGTTGAAAAAGTCACTTTACAAAGCAGGGTTAATTTGGACAAAACCAGCAAGTGACTCACTAGCCACACACCTTGTGCCAGTAAAGGTTAGTCTGAGCTGCAGAAGCTGTGCCAGCAATGCAAATTTCCAGAGTTACTACTTTTACACAGAACTTTTCACTTCCACAGATACCACCTAGGGAAGAAACTTTCTTCCTCATTCCTAACCAGGAAGGACATAGCGCTCCCACGCAGAACAGACCAACCATGTCAGTATCTGGCAAAGAACAGCTCTGTACAACAGCTCCCTGCTTAAATTCATATTGGCCCATCTAAAATCTTAATTCCAGTCACATTTAAACTCATTCGCATGCATCCACACCACAGAACACTGGCAATAAAGAAACAACTGACTCTAAAGTTGTATTAACATCTAGCTGTAGGGGCCAGTAGCAAATAATGCATGAGACATGAAGTTTAATACAACGTCATGATCACATAGCTTACTTGGAAAGTGTTTAAAACAAAAGTTGATTGAAGCAATCTATGCTATTCAATACTCTTTAAGGCTACAAACATTCACAGAGGGAGCCAAAGGGGCTGTTCTTCGCTCTACTGCCTTATCACTTTGCAACATTCTTTTTTAAATCAACATGGTCTTCAGAATTAGATTTATAGGGATTTAAAGAGAATACTTCACTAAAACAAATGCTCACAGCACTTTTAACTCGTTCAGTTCCACACTCATTTTTGTGAGAGGGCGCACATTCCCGGAGAACGAGCGACAGCCCTGTCCTTTCAGTCCGTTGATCTATGCGAAATAAAAGCCCTGTGATTCACATCCACGATCCCGACCCGCTACCTGGCGAAACGAGGCTGCCCGCCACTCATCGGCCCCCGGGCGGGCCCCCGCCACCCGACAGGTAGCGACGGCGGGGGGACGGCAGGGACGCGACAGAAGAGGGAAGAAGCGCCATCTCAACGCTCGATCGCCGGCCAGGCGAGTCGTGTCCCGGCTCTCTACAGGGCAGCGGTCCCTGAGACGGCGAGGGCCCCGCGGACAACGGGCCGACGATTCGGGCGCGCAGAGAAGCCCCGCACCCCTAGGGAAGGGAAGAGCGGCGCCCCCGCCCCTACCGATACCTCCTTGTCAGGCACCCAGGGCGGCTCGTCCAGGCCGAAGGGGCTGCGGGCAGAGCGGTGCTCGGGCACCATGCGCAGCCCACTGGGCGACCGCACCAGCTTCTTGGCATCGCGGGCCTCACAGCCCGACATCTTCCCTCCAACCCCGCCACCGCTCCGCTCCGCTACGCTACGCTACGCTTCCCCTCCGCCCCGTGAAGACACCGCCACTACCCAATGACCGCCCAAACCCTCCCAAACAGGCATGGCGCACTACCAATGACAAGCAAAGGGCCGCCAGGCTCCGCCCGCTCTCTCCAGACACCCAATAAAACGCTGCCTCTGGACTTCCCAGCCAATCCCCTGTTGCTTGGGATTTAAGATAGGCGTGTTATTCCTTCCACACCCCTTTAGGTGCTCGGGGCGCATGCGCAACTGGAATCGCCAGCCCCACAACCCGGAAGGGAAGGGCATGCGCGCCGCAGTCACGCCTCGTGTTCCGTGTCGGGGGAAGCGTGATAGCCAATCAGCGATAGCGACAGCCGCTCAGAGCGTCCCGCCCGCTCCTTGAGCAGCGCCCTACCATTGGCTGTCTTGCCGGAGCTGTGGCTTTGGGGAGTTTTGATTGGCCTGTGTCTAGTGACGTCACAGGCACGCTGCTCGCCCATTGGCTACGGGTTGTTGCAGTGGCTCTGGCTGTGAGTTCGCAAGGGGGTTAGAAGGTGTCTGTCAGGGCAGGGCTGGGCGGTTGGTGCTGCGCTGCCTGCCCGCCCGCCGCGGCCCTCACTGCACTCCCCTCTGTCCCGTTCGCCTTTCCCCGTGTCTGGGCTGTGGCAGATCCGAGCGGCCTCCTCCGCGCCTCGTCCGTGGGAGCCGCCTGACTTCTCCGCGACTTGTTTCTGCTGATTTCTCTTTTAGGGCCTCAAACGGTGGCCGCCCTGGCGCGGCTTCGTGTGCCCAGGGTGTGCAAAATGGTTTGGAACCCATCCTGTCAGAGGTCACCGTAATCATGATTGACATCAGTAAGTTTTGACTTCTAGCTCTTGTCAGAATGCTGCTTTACAGAGGTGTTGCTTAAAAAGAACTCTTTCTTTTCCTGTATTTGTTCTGCCGTCAGGATCCACGGCAACCTCTCCTCCATGTTAAAAAAGGGATTGTTCATTAAGTCGTATATTCTTACCTAACTCCCTTGGGTCTGCCGCAAGCCTTCATGGCAATGATCTGAATAATAGCAGCAAACCTCTTCCAGGCAACTCTAGTGCTAAACTACTGTGTTTCAGATCAAAGTATTAAAAAGTGTTTAATGTTGTTTCAAGAAACAAACTGATTTTAATGTTCTAATGCTAAATTTGCTATTCATTAATAAATATATGTTTGATATACAAACCAATGTATGAATAGTCCTGGATCATCGTAAATTGCACATGCATAAGATTTATTTTCTATTTGAAAATTAAAAACTGATGTAAAAAGTGGTTGGATAGAAATGATTGTCCAAAGTATTTGTGAGCTTTGTTCAATCCAGAGCAAAAGCACTATGCAGAATTACAAGCCATTGTAAGCCATTACAAGTGACTAGTAGCTCTTAACAGCAGTATTACTGGTTGAACTCTTTAACAGGGTATATATGTCAACAGCTGTCTGAGAAGACTTCTGCCAATGTGCTGAATAATTATTTTTCTAAACTAACTGATAAATGTATCATCAAAAAGTAAGAATGTATCCTAGAGACTTTTGAATGATGCTTACTTTTCTTGTTGCATGTATATCTGATAAAAGCCACTTTAATTACAGATGATTGCCTGATGCACTGTTCATCCAGGTGCTATATCAGAAAATGGATTGGGACCAGTTTGACTTGAACCCTAAAGTAATTGCTGCCCTTAAGAAAGGTAACTTACTTTGCCAGTGTCTCACTAATAGATCTGTCAGCAAAGTGTCTTTCTTCTGTGGGTATAAGTATATAGATGTACATTAGCATTTTAGAACTGTAATTGTTTCATAAGCAAGTTTTTTGAGTAACTTGAAATGATGGCTTTTGCCCGTGCTCCAATAATCATTTTCCAAACAATTTTATAGCATGTGTTGGTGCATTCAAAGTAAGTGTTGCCTGCCCAGCTTACAAGAATGCAGGGTAGACAAACTTAAGTAAATGAGTAGTAGGAAGTGGGAAGACTCTTACTTTTGTGCATAAAACTGTAATCTACCCCAAAGTATTTATAAAAATTCTTCTGATTTCAGCTGACATAAAATCAATAAAGGAGATTTTAAATCTTTCTGGAGCAGACTTGCAACGATTGATGAAACTGTCCAGTGCAGATATACAGTGCTTATTGAAAACGGTCTCTCACATGCTAAGGAGAAACAGTATGCTTACAGGTAGTACAGTCAATACAAAACCCCCTGTTCTATTTAAGTCTTAAAATACCTCTCACTGAGAGAAAATACGGTTTTGGCTCCTCATTGACTCAGTAATGCAAGTCTGAAAATGAAAATGCTGTGGTGAATTACTTAACTATGCAAAGGACAGCTCCTCTTAGAGACCTTAAAGGTACATAGAAGTGGGTGGGTGTCATTCTTCAAGATCAAGCCTGCTTGAAACAGGACAAAATAATTCTCCAGTCTGAAAAACTTGATTAAAGGAACAAAACATTTAATTTTTCTTTCTCACTCTCTCTCCCCCTCTTGCAATTTTTCTTTTGGACTAAGACTTGTTGAAAAACTTACATTTTAAAAAACTACATAAACTGATTTGATATAAACATCTCATTCTAAAATAAGCAGGACCTAGTAGCTCCTCCTGTACAAATGCGTCATAGCAGCTCTGTATTAAAATGTATTTTTTGATGTGCATATGTCTTCAGGCTTTGGCCAGGTGCCTGCTGCTACACTGTTTCATAGTCTGCTATAGCTTTCCATTTAGCGTAATTGTGCTTGAACCTTGCTGGCAGTATTTTCTGAGGCTATAGCTTCCCACAGAGCCTCTTTGGAGGCAGAGAAAGGAAAAAAGCTTTGAGAGGCGGAAAGGGCTCAGTGTAAACTCTCAGTTTTTGAGCAGGCATTTGGTTAGTAGGGCCTATGCGGAAAGGGAGGTGGAAAGAAGAGGCTGACTCAGAAAAATTCTCATCAACAAAGCAAGCATCTCTTACAGGCATACATCTGGTATACAGCTTCTATTTTGTATCATTGCATGTTGGAAAGGTACCGAATGAAACTCCTCTTTTTTTTTTTTTTTGTCCCTTTTTAATATTAAAAAAAAACCAACAAAACCTCAAACCCTGCAGCACTTCAGCTCTACCAAGATAAAGATCATCACACCTCTCAGCACCAGAAGCTGAGCCTTGGATGTTCAGTACTAGATAACTTGTTAAAAGGTGGCATTCCCTTAGTGGGAATCACAGAAGTTGCCGGGGAAAGTTCTGCTGGGAAGACTCAGATTAGCTTACAGCTGTGCCTTTGTGTGCAGTATCCTTACAAGTATGGTGGATTAGAGTCTGGTAAGTACCGAAATGTAAGTACTGATTAATTTGGCGTTTTGAGGAAATACTGTCTTTAAGAACATCATAGAATCGTAGAATGGTTTGGGTTGAAAAGGAACTTAAGATCACCTAGTTCCAACCCCCTGCCATAGGCAGGGACACCTTCCAGTACACCAGGTTACTCAAAGCCCCATCCACCCTGGCCTTGAACACTGCCAGGGATGAGGCATCCACAGCTTCTCTGGGCAACCTGTGCCAGGGTCTCACCACCCTCACAAGGAAGAATTTTTATTTAATGTCTAATCTCCCCTGTCAGCTTAAAGCCATCAGTGCACTGAAGTAGATGCATATAATTCAGTGATGTCTTACCCTTACAGCTTTAGTAGTAAGCTAGTTAGTTATTAATTGTCATAGAAAGAAAAGTATGCTCTGTACATTCCCAGCATCACAGCATAACTTAATACAAAATTACTATTGGCTGTTATTTGCCTGCCTGCTGCTGTGGTTAAACTAGAATATATGAAAAGCATTGCTGTTGTAAGTAGTTACTGACTCCTCAGGTATCAACCACAGCAAAACAGCTTGTCTGATGATTTTCCACAGACGCCTCTGGTATGTGTTATACCCAAGTTGGGGATTTTGAATTTCAAAGAGTATTTAGTTTGATAACTATAATTACAGGGATTTACAGAGTAAAACTGATGGAAATATAATTGAGGACAGTTAATGTTGTTTTGTGTGGCTTTGCCAAAGTATACAGGTTTGTTCTTTGAGTATCAGTTTTTGACTGTCTGTCACATTAATCTAACTCCTAGTATTTACTGGGTGTTTTCTAGTGTTCTGTGCTGTGTTAGAAAGGAAGGAAACTTCTGTCACTTCTAAGAATTTGGTGTCCTGGTAATTTGCCTTAGGTGCGTTTTGGCTGTGATCTTGTTCTTCCTTCTATGCAGCACTGGCTTTATTTTGGCAGCTCAGTTGTTTGTTGTGGGGATACTTAATTATTTCTAGTACTATATCCACCCATATGGAAAAGTCATGGAATGTCCAAATGAAAATCTTGCTTAAAGGGCTGTAATTAGCCTGTGGCTTACGTTACTTTGTTTCAATTTACGTCATTAGTCAGAGCAGAAGCATATCTTTGGTTTGATTCCTTGGCGTGTTGCTGGTAACTGCTGCAAATAGTTTGAATGTATATACATTTGATTTGTGCCTCAACACTGGTACTGATTTATGTTGAAACAAACCAGAACAGAGCACAGACGATGCCCAACAACCTTATGACACTCTTGTCTCTTGTGCCAGACCTTGTAGGGCTACAAAATGGCAAGTCTTTTCATTAACTGTGTTTGAAGATGGTTTTTCTTTCTTACGCATCTTGTACTTGGTGCTAATAGGATGGCTTTGTTCTGTGTGTGTCCCACATCTACCCAATCCTAAGTGTCTCATGGAAAATAGGCCTGGCCATCATATCAGTGCTTCTGTGAGAGAACCAGAGTGTTTTGGAAGGGCTGAGAGGACAGAATGTTTGAGGATCATGAAGGTGTAGAAGATGGAAATACCCTGCTGCTGGAGTTGGACAGCTAAGGGAGTGGTAGAATCCTAATTCTTACAATTCTTTACTCTCAGACTGATATCTTAGAATCATAGAACAGTTAGGGTCGGAAAGGACCTTAAGATCATCTAGTTCCAAACCCCCTA